CACACTCTCTCTCTCTCTCTCTCTCTCTCTCTCTCTCTCTTTCTCTCTCTCCCCCCCTCATCTCTCTCAATCTCATGTAACTGTCTTAATTTGGAAGCCCCCCCTAAAATAAACATTGACCTTATCTCTTTCCCCTGTATCCTCTTTTTTTTAATATCTTAACCAGTTCATCTTTAAAATGAAATAAACTTCCAATTCTACCACTTAAATCTCTGCAACTATTCTAGACAACAATAACACTAAAGAAAGCTAAACCAAAATAACCCCAAATTAAAATCTAAAAAATAGTAAAACAAAAAATTTAAAAAACCATTGGATCATTCTTCTGGGGTTGTGAGAAGCTCGACCTTGAGCTTGTTGAATTCATATATTTTAGAGGCCTTTCTAATAATTGGTGATTCAGTCCAACTATTTGTCTGGGTACTTTTTCTTCTTCAATAAAGAAATTGATCAAACACTCAATATCTAGCTTGTAATGGGCATCTGTAATATTGGACTTTAATCTTGATTTCTCATTGTTATTTCATCTACCACAACTAGGCAACTAGCGTATATTCTTCTTCATAATTGATTGTTGAAATTTGTAGAATTGTTGGGTTATTGTCAACATCTTTCACGCTGGGATTTACTTTGTCATGTTCTTCTTCCTCTTGTTGCAATCTACTAAGTAGATCATGTGGATCTTGTTGTATTATATTGCTCAGGTCTTCTTGGAGCCTCTCAAGTATTTGATCTATATACTCCATAACTAGATCAGAAGTTGTTTGTGATGGCATAATGATATATAGATCTCAAGGCTATGTTTTGCTGGTCTGATCTACTTGCTCTGATGCCAACTGCTGTAGGGAAGATGGGGAAGAAAAAATAAAAATGAAAATAGTAAGAAAAAAGTTTAGAGAATATACCCTTCCTCAAGTTCTGCAGGGTAGTCCACCTTAAAGATCTTTTCACAATATTAAAACAATTTCTTTACTCTTAAAACATAACTAAGTTCACAAAGAGGGACATCCTTCCCGTTAAATACAAATTAAAAGAATTGATAAAAAATAAAATAAAAGAAAACCCACAAAAAACTCTCTCCTCTACATTCTCTCTCTCAACTCATGTAACTCTCTTAATTTGGAAGCCCCCACCCAAACTAAACACTATCCTTATCTCCTTCCCCAATATCCTCTTTTAATATTTTCTAATTACTTCATCTTTAAAATAAAATAAACTTCTAATTTTAGCCCTTAAATCTCTATAACCAATAATGTCAAAAATAACCCTAAAGAAAGCTAAAACCCAACCTAAAATATAAAAAACAGTATAAAAAAAATTACATCAAAAAATATATTTTGTGACATTAGATTAAGACTAGAATCGATGGTCTTATACATTTGAAAGAAAAGGAAAAGAATAACACATAGTCTTGTTGAAGGTTTTCTCTTGGTAGAAATTTAAGGCACATGCAACCAGAATTATTTGTTTGGGTGGTGTGTTGATCTTGTTATGATTGGAGATTGTAAAATGTAGGAAATATTGCTCTAATGTGCTTTCCAGTTCACAAAGTTGAAGGTCAAGTTCTTCATTATTATCATATCATCATCTGAGCCTTATCGCAACTATTTGAGATCAGCGGAATATTGTTCCCCCATTCCGTAAGGGTCATACTCTTTGTAAGACCAGAAGTCATAGTAGGTCGAGTTGATTGCATAAATGCTAGCATTCTGTTTTGGAGTGTTTCCCATTGCCCCAGTTGTATGGTGGTTATTCTCTTGACTAAACAAATGAAAGCATGTTATGTTGCAATGCTTAAATCTCAAAAAAAATATTTTCCATTATTAAGAATTTGATTTCTAACTCTGCCATAGTCATGTCGGTCCCAAGCCTGGATATAGAAGTTTTGTGTTAGGTAGGACAACCAACGTAAAACTTTGCCACATCTTTTCATGAATCCTAAACCTATGTTATATGCTCATGCTAGAGCATTCATTGATCTGATTGAGCGTATGGCCCCTGATAGAGTAGAATGACGAAACAGGATTCATGTAGCTATCTATGGGTATTTTGTCTCAAAAAAATTACTAAAGAAACATTTAACATTATAAAAAACAATATTTATTGAAGAAAGCTTCCTAGGAAATGATATTAAATAGAAGGCCATCAGCAGCAGTGTGTGGTGACATCAATAAAAGCAGTCCCAA